TTCTCGGGCGGGGGGGGGGGGGGAGGGGTTCGGACCGCCACTGTTTTCTAGGTATAACTTCAGGGAGCTTTATGGGTTTCTTAGAACTATAACTAAAGGGCAACAAAAATTGACAGTCTAGTAAACGAACAAGAAAATTCGCTAGTAACAGCGAAAGATAAAGCTTAGGCACTGGGAACGCACTTGTTTTTTCACTGAGAACGGTGCGGATACCAGGGAAACGAAATTTTTCTCTCTCATATTACTGCTCGATTTATTAGGTTGTCCTAAAAGTTTTGTCCGTTTATCCAGACCACTATAAGACCACGCGCAATAAAGGCCTGAATGCGTTTCAACATCATTTGATGCAGCTTTTCCTTCTCTTTCCTATGGATGTATTTTCGAACCGCAGTTTTGTATGCTTCATTTGATAGCTGCCAAAATTCTCCACCCGTCAAGTTTATCTGCTCAAAGTTAGGCTAATTTTTAGAAAAATTTTTTCAAACCGGAAAGGATGAAGTATAGCAGAACTAAAACATTTTTTGGATTATATGGTAATATTTTTAGATTCTTCTAACCTGCTGTTTTTAGCCTCAAAAAAATATTAGGTCATTCCGAAAGTATTTTCGCTTTTTTCAAACGGACGTCACATGTGATGGAACAAAGACTTCTAAGAGATCTTGGTAGCATTCGATGCAGAATTTCATCCTCTTTCTAACAGTAATGAAATCGTTGCAGCACAGTCTTTGAGCTTTCGGAAAATAACCAAAGCACTGCGACCCATGCTTTTTGAGATGGTCAAGTTTCACAATTTTCAAAACTTTTATATCAACCCTCAAAAGGAATTCTACTAACGATTAGATAGAGCCAATTCTACAGAATACAAAACAATTCTTTCTCCTTCACATACTTCCTCAAAATTTTTTAATAACATTTCAACCGATGCTACCAATTTGCATACTTGGTCAACTCAAATCTCGTAGAACATCAATGAGAGAGCAGCTTGGATGCTGTTTGATGCAGCTTTTTCTGCCCTTTCTAAAAGATGTTTTTTGTTCCCGATTTGTTCAGTCTTCGGGGCTCAAATCGTCATAACTCATGTTTTTGAACGCGCCCAAGGCTGTACCCGAAAAACCCGAAGTTCAGTATTTCGAATCCGCAAAGTCTCATTTGCTTTGCAAAATCAATATTAAGTCACTCAACTTGGAAGCTTCAAATTCCGAGTAATTACTAATGTTTGATGCATTGTGGCTGACGTAGGCCTGCCAAAATCGATGATTTTGGAAAAATCTTTTGGAAAAGTAGGGCTATGAAAAAGAGAAAAAAGTATGCTATATCCTATAAGGTTTGCTCTATCTGATCGTACTTGAACTTGAACTCCTTCTGGGGATTGATATGAAAGTTCTGAAAAATCGTGAAACTTGACCATCTCAAAAAGCATGGATCGGAGACTTTCGTAATTTTCCAAAAGCTCATTGACTGTGTTGCAATAATTTTATGATGCATCGAATGCTACCAAGATCACTTAGAAACCTTTGTTCCATCACATGTGGCGTCCGTTTGAAAAAAGCGAAATTACTTTCGGAATGACCTAATATTTCTTAGGAAGTCTTGATTTTTGGCAAAGTCATGAAACACCCAACTGCGGCAGAAACACTAAAGCTCTTGGATTTTCTGCGAATTGACTTGACTGCTAATGAACAATAACTATGCAACGCAACCAAGCTTAATTTGCTTTGAAAAATCAGCTTTTTGGAATTTTCGGTAACTTTACGTGTGGAACAATCAAAAGCCGCGGTTTATCTCAAATAAGTAATTATAACGGACATGGTAAACGTAGCCCACGTAACCAAAACGGGTAAAATGTAGCCAAAAGTTCGTTCTACATAACAGTTACCAGCGCTCATTGAAAACATCAGGATAAAAATTTTTGAAATTCAGGAAAGATATGACGCCATGGCGATAATATTGCAAATACAGGGTAGACCAGAAAGCAAATATAGCTGTTAGAAAGAGGATAAAAATCTGAGTCAAAGGGCACCTAAGTCGTCCATGGATTGGTGTTTTGTGAAATTTCGTGAGCGATGAAAAAATCGGACAAAATTTTCGGTAAAACCTATTACATCGAACCTACAAAGGTTTAAGAAATTTTGCGAATTAAACGCAGCTACTACGTTTGCATACGATGGAACCCCATTAATTCCGTAAATGCGCCATTGCCTTGGCTTGACCTTTAGCTTTCACATCAGACACTCATATGCACCGTTCCTGTATTTTTTCCTCTTCTGAAAGTCGAGAAAACGAAAATTTTCATGCTTATGTAAAAACGAAGCTGTACTGTTTTCACACACGTAATTGAATAGTGCAAGCCCTTGGAAGTATAACCGTAAATTTTCAGCCTTCTACAGGCCCTAGGCCGAAAATTACCGAATTGGGCGCTCCTCACTCGGGCGCTTCATGCTAAAATCAATATTTTTCGACAACTAGGGCTTACGGAAAGCCGAAAAATTACGGTTATACTTTTGAGGGCTTGTACTATTCAATTACGTCGGTGGAAACAGCACAGCTTCGTTTTTATACAAGCATGAAAATTTTATTTTTTTCGATTTCTAGATGAGGAAAAATTACAGGAACGGTGCATATGAGTGTCTGATGTGTTCCGCAATTTTTGTGAGCAAGTTAGATCCGTAGGATTTGTTTGAACGAAGATATGAATTTTTCGCGATTTTTTGAATTTCGGTACGACTCAAATTTTGGGTGCAAACTTACGGTGGGTCGAAACTGGTACGGATTTTTGCATATCTTCTTGTAGAGCTTGCTTTGCTCTATCAAATGGTACCTCCAACTGATGTATATGCGTTAGGTTTCGAGAAATAGCAGATCTTTTCTGAAAATGTCCGAGAACTTTCTTACCAGCCTAATAGTAATACTCTTTCAAATTTCCGCCTAATCAGCATCACAGCACCAGCTAGTAAGATTCTTGAGAGTATTGTAAAAGATGCTTTATTTGAGTGGATGGAAAAAAATGAAGATTTTCCGTCAGTCTAAAATGGTTTTTTTCCCTATCGGGGCCGCTGCTGCCTTACTCTCAGACTCAGTTTTTCACCGGATAAGCGCGGTTAATTAGGATCAACATCAGTGAACATCGTTTTCGACCTTTCCAAAGCATTTGGCAGAGTTGCTTCCCATCTCAAGTCACTTTTGAAACTAGAAAATGATGGAGTTTGTGTAGAGCTTTTCGCTTGAGTGGCATCATACAATACTACTCACAGACAAGCAAAATTTCCGAACTTTCGCGAAACTCCGGAAATTTCGCGAAATTTGTGAATCTGTGTGCATCACACAAATTACGCAAGGCCATAACTTCTTTCCTAATGAGTATATTTAAAATCCGAAAACAGGATTGTATTCAGCTCGTCAAGGCGAATCTTTGATGTATAGGTTGTCTCCAACACCTTGTTTTCAATACTCTTGAATTTGATGCGGACGTCTCTTCGCATGGGTGTAACGCAACGAGCATCACACATAGAAGACTGCCGTGGGCACCCTTCGACAGTACTCTCTCACTAGATTATCGTGCGCTAAACTGCGGCTGAAAACTCTTTTTCAAAAGAGATAGAGGAGCTGATAAACTCTGGAAAAATCAAGCTGTTCCAAGTTCTACCAGCCGTAACTTCCTTCAAAATGAACGTTTTCGAAATCCGAAAGTAGCATTGTGTTCATCTCATCAAGTCGAATCTTACCGTGTACAGCATGCCCTTGAAATTCCGTTTCCAATTTTTTCAAAATTTTCTACGCGCGTATATTCACAAGGTCGCAACGCAGCGCACATCAAACATAAAAGACTCCAATAAGCACTGTTGGATTGTGCTGCTTTCGCACATAATCGGGCGCTAAAAAGCAATCGGAGAATCTTCTTGAAAAAAGATAGAAGAGCTAGTGAATTCTGGAAAAATCGTGTTGTCTCAAATTTTGCCCACCTTGACCCTAAAATGAGAAGCTCTACTGCTAAGCACATGTGATTTTCGTAATCAGCAGGTTAGATAACCTCTATGAGCGAGTTTTCAAAGAAATCCGAGTGATTTGGTTTTTTCTCGTTACGCCCTGAAGCTGGCCGATGGGTTTTAGTCAAAATGTCGATGATCTCAGATTGTAAGAAAACTTCGCTCAAAGAGGTTTTCGAACACGCTGTCTACGATAACCATCTTTTGCGCGGAGTGCAGAGTTTTCTAGCAGAGATATGGTGAGGGAACTTTAGCTAAGCCACGAAAGTTCGTAGATTCGCCTGCATTTTTTGAGCACCTCTTAGAAATCTGCTTGCTTGCCTCTACAGGTTAAATTCACTAAAAAGCGTGCTATTTAACGGTGCATGCGTTTGACTTCAGTCTGTAGCAGTCGCCGAGTTACAGGCCTACGAAATCACGTCCTCATGAGTTTTGCCCAAAACGTAAAGATCGCCTGCTTCAAAGAAAATCACCTAAGTGATTGTAAGACACGCTGGTCACCAATTTTGTGTTCAACTCAAAAGGTCCTCGAGATCTTATTGTATTGGATCTGGTGGTTGTGCGTGCCTGAGCCCTTAGGTGAATATCAAAGCAGATTCGTGGCTAGAGTTCAGATCTATTTAATTACTTCCAGTACAGCAGGATAGATTCCTTAAAGGCAGCGTCCCCTCAAATTGGGATGTACCTAGATCTCACTGCGTTGCAATGGTAGGGCTTCAGACTAAGCGAACAGTGAAATCCGCAGCAAAAAAGGGCACGTGAGAGGCCTAAAATTCGTCTCGGAAGTCTTACGGACCCCGCCTTTTTCCAGACTCCGCCCACCGCCTAATTGAACACCCAAAGCCTACAACTGTGCAGCTCTTGCATAACCGTTGCCTGGCGCCTTGTAATACATCAATCGATTGTCTACGATTGCTGATGTTTTTACTTAAAACGATAATGTTTCTCGCTTTCATCGCGTACGTGATGTGTGTGACCTGATTCACTACTGTTTTTAGGAAAGTTGTTAATATATAGAAGATGGTCAGTGCACTCCACAACAATGCGCTCAAACATGGTGAGTTTCGGACGCTTAGTTAGCAAAAAGAGCCTACTAAAGCTAGCAAAAGTGGATATCATTGATTTTCAGTGATTGCTTTTTCAGCTTTAGGGTAATTTGCGTCGAAAGACTCAAAAAGAAGCTAGCTTATCATAGTATGGTATGTGCAAGATGTCCAATGTCATTGTTATATTGCTATTCTGCTGGGGATGTTGGAATGAGGTTGGAAGATTTGATGCAAGTTCGCTGTGTTGGTGCATATCAGTGCTGTAAAACTTCAGTGCACAACGAGTTTCTCATTTGGGAGCCGATGTATCGTTTTCGTTTGCTTGCGGCAAGTCTCAAATACCGTCTAAGTTGAGTTTTCAAGAACAAACCTTTGCAAGGCGAAATGTTCTACGTTTACTTGCACTCTTTCAGAGTAAGCGTTGCTCATTCTCCATTCTTTCAAGCTTCGAATTGGAGCGCGATGTATGTAAGGACATGCAGCTGAATGGCGATGTAAACTACAAATGTTCCGTAATTCTCAGCTTCCGGTTTCTACAATTTTTCATAAAGCTTTGCTGTTGACAGATCTTTGTTGTTCCATTTGCTGTCGCACTCTCACTCGTCATTGTTTTTCCCAGTTCCAAAAGAATCATATGCTCAAAAGGTTTTTTTCACATCGAAATCGATTGCGCATATTTGAACAACGAGGCGCCAAGCAACGGTGTGCGCCGCAGCGTATAACTCGTCCATGTCCACCCTGAAGAGCTTCTGGAAAAAGCACCTTTTCGCCATTTTGAAGCGCTACAAGCCTCATCTATGTAATCAGCGTCCCGAGAAAGCCTCAAAAACGCAGAAAACCGAAAATCGAGTTTTTGCCGAGACGCTGCTTTTAAGCGATGTGAACACAAAATTGGTGACCACAGTGTCTCACAGTCACTTAGATGGAATTTCTACGAAGCAGGCAATCTTTACATTTTGGGCAACTCATGAAGACGTGATTTCGTAGGCCTGTAACTCGGCGACTGCTATAGACTGAAGCCAGACGCATGCACCGTTAAATAGCACGCTTTCTAGCGAATTTAACCTGTCGAGGCAAGCAAGCAGATTTCTAAGAGGTGCTAAAAAATGCAGGCGAATCTACGAACTTTCGTGGCTTAGCTAAAGTTCCCTCACCATATCTCTGCTAGAAAACTCTGCACTCCGCGCAAAAGATGGTTATCGTAGACAGCGTGTTCGAAAACCTCTTTGAGCGAAGTTTTCTTACAATCTGAGATCATCGACATTTTGACTAAAACCCATCGGCCAGCTTCAGGGCGTAACGAGAAAAAACCAAATCACTCGGATTTCTTTGAAAACTCGCTCATAGAGGTTATCTAACCTGCTGATTACGAAAATCACATGTGCTTAGCAGTAGAGCTTCTCATTTTAGGGTCAAGGTGGGCAAAATTTGAGACAACACGATTTTTCCAGAATTCACTAGCTCTTCTATCTTTTTTCAAGAAGATTCTCCGATTGCTTTTTAGCGCCCGATTATGTGCGAAAGCAGCACAATCCAACAGTGCTTATTGGAGTCTTTTATGTTTGATGTGCGCTGCGTTGCGACCTTGTGAATATACGCGCGTAGAAAATTTTGAAAAAATTGGAAACGGAATTTCAAGGGCATGCTGTACACGGTAAGATTCGACTTGATGAGATGAACACAATGCTACTTTCGGATTTCGAAAACGTTCATTTTGAAGGAAGTTACGGCTGGTAGAACTTGGAACAGCTTGATTTTTCCAGAGTTTATCAGCTCCTCTATCTCTTTTGAAAAAGAGTTTTCAGCCGCAGTTTAGCGCACGATAATCTAGTGAGAGAGTACTGTCGAAGGGTGCCCACGGCAGTCTTCTATGTGTGATGCTCGTTGCGTTACACCCATGCGAAGAGACGTCCGCATCAAATTCAAGAGTATTGAAAACAAGGTGTTGGAGACAACCTGTACATCAAAGATTCGCCTTGACGAGCTGAATACAATCCTGTTTTCGGATTTTGAATATACTCATTAGGAAAGAAGTTATGGCCTTGCGTAATTTGCGTGATTCACATAAATTTCGCGAAATTTCCGGAAATTTTGCATGTTCTGTGAGTGGTATTGTACCTACAAGATCGGGGTACGACTGTTCGCGTTGGTACCAAGTTCTCAACGCGTTTTCCTTGAAGCAATAGTGTACCCCAGAGCGGCACTCTGCCATTTCCACTTTATCCCATGTACACGGCTGAGTTACGTCTTACTTGGAGACTCACCGTCAAAATTCAAATATTTGCAGACGATATAAAAATATACTTTTGCTAGAAACGTAAAGAGACGTAGCGTATGAAGCGATGTCTTCGACGAACAAAAACATGATACTTTGTCCAAAGAATGGGGTCTTGAGTCCTGGCCATACCGAAAGTAAAATCATCACGATGCGAATTGTGCAATAGGACAACTGTCATACGTCCTATGCATGTGCGGGCTTCTTTTTTTGGCAAGTTTTTAGAACAGTTCCTTTTTTGGGGGATGTTCTTCTGCAGAGGCGCACCAAAATGAAGGACGGTTTCTCTGACTCATAGTTGCGATAGGGGGAGTGATGGATCTTACCCCCTTCACTTTGAGGCCAAACTCCCGATGACCCCCTTCACTGGGCTGAGATTGGTATTGTACTCCGAGAATATGATAAAAATCGTTATTAAAAGGTTTTGCAAGCTAAGTACCTCAAGCAACAAGTACACTCATAAATTTACAAAAGAAACGGTATTTATGTTTATTTATATTATTTATTTATCCTCGTACGTCGACTTTCTCGTAGCATTCATTCTGAGAGCAGAAAGTGAGGACACAAAATCAGTTAATTTTTGAAGCACATGAAATCCCTCATATCTCGCGGCACAAAAGACCTAGAAAAAAGTCGTCGGTCTATGTCGATTCTCCATGATCTCAGCTTTCGAATGGTACACAGCATGTTAGGGCTTCTTTGCTTCCCGGCTCTAAAAATCATTTGCTCCGGTAACCGATAAAAGCCAATACATTGGTGGAGCTGGGTGGAGCAAGCTAATAGTAAATATCTCCACCCCATTTTTGAAAACTGATTAGTTTTTTTCGCCTAACAACCTATATACCATTCGAAAGCTCAGGAAAAGGGGATTCGACCTAGACCGTCGACTTCTTTCTAGCCCCCCTCTACCGAGAGATACACCGCATTTTATCTATGCAACAGATGACCATTAGTAAGTAGATAAGATGTTATTATAAAAAACGTGACTTACTATTTCATACGAAAGAAGCAGTCAAATCGGCTGGAAAAATCAAAAGATATGAATTTTTGAAAATCGTGCGCAAGAACTTTCAGGACGACCTATACAATGTGGCTTTTTATGGGTCACCGGAGCAAATGATTTTTAGAGCCAGGAAGCAAAGAAGCCCTTACATGCTGTATACCATTCGAAAGC